GGAAAAATGGCCAAGTTCAATATAAAATCGGATTCAATAAACTGTAAGATAGGAAATACAAGTGAGGGCCAGGGAAAAGTAAAGGATGACAAATTAAGACAGATAGTGATTGTCTTACATGCAGCTCAAAGAACTAAGGTAGCATAATATACCCCCCCTTACTCCGGTGCTTTATACCACCACTTCTAGTGTGCAGGGAACAGACAACTTCCCACCCATGCAGGTGGATGGGGGCAGAGCCTTGACTCCGTACCCTTCAGTGTAGTTATGCTAGTGCATCAGGGAGTGCAAACAAGACTCCGGTTTAGACAACTCTCTCCCAGGGTACTCCAGGGGAAGCACAACACCACATTGCCCAAAATGCAGGGCATAATGACACAACCTAGCCATAAAGGAGTAAATACAATCCTGGCAGAAAAATACACATGCCACTATGGGTCATGTTAACAGGAGTATATTGTGCAAAATAAATAAGGGTAATTATTCCTCTGAACTCAGAACTGCACTGAGCTTTCGGTATCATTTCAAAACTCTGATTAGCTGCAAAGGGTTTAGAAGAAAAAGAACAAAAGGTTAGGGAAATAAATCCATTAGGGAATGGTTAGGAAAGCTACCACGTTCAGCTTAGAGAAAAGCAGTACGAAGGATGAATTTAACAATTGTCTACAAATACACAGAGATGTTAAGAAGACAGGCACCAATTATTCTCATTAGTCAGTGAGGACAAACAAGTAGTAATGGGTTTATGGTGTGGTAAGGAAAATGTAAGTTAATTACCTACCCGACAGGATTGCTGGAAGGATTAATTCATTAATACTTGTAAAACACTTGGAGTTTCTGAATGAAAGGTACCAAGGAAGTTGCAAACTATTGGGGGGGGGGGCAGGGCGGGGGAGCTGAACACTCAAGCAATGGATCAAGCTGTCAAAGAAGGTTTGTGAATCACCTTCACTGGATATATTCTTAGATAGACTTGACACTTCCCAGAGAGGTTTAGGGATTAAGAATGGACAAGTGACCATCAAAAATCCTTTTTAAACCAAACACCATGTATTCTATTCATCCCAACATACATTGTAGTCCAGAAGTGGTTTCCCAATTATCCTGTTCCACTGTTAACCAATATACTTCACACAGTGCTCATTTTAGAAGGATGAAAGATACTGTCTCTTTAAAAAGCCTATATTCAACCTACTATCCACACAGCACAATATAATTTGATGTTTAATACCTTTAGTACACATGATACACCAGTTACATACACTGTACACACCATTCAGAACCAACAAATGCAACATTGTTCCTAATCTCATAACATTTTCAGACACCAGCTCAATGCTCTGAGTCCTAACACCTGATCAGTGCAGACATGTACATGAGGAATAAAGAAAAACATGCAGTACGCTAATGAAGTCTAATCACACTGAATCTAAGTCATTTTCACAGGTCAATTCAACTCATAATACAAACTAATTCAAAAATCAGTCTGAATATACATTAAGACTTTTCACTCTTAGCTAGCCACAGCTCTGTTATATTAAAGTAATTTATTATTATTAGTTGTTGTTAAAGGATGATATTGTGCTCAGTGCTGTATCATATATAAAAATGAATACTGTTCTGGCCCAAAAGACTAAGAAACTGTAAGGTTAATGCTAAATAGCAGCTGTTACTTGTTTTAAAGTCATCCTATAACAAGTGTGATTGTAACACTGTTTAACGTGACTTCCTAAGCATCATCATTTAATTTGAGCTAGTTTATTATAAAACAATGCACTTTTGATGTAACAATTGTTCCTTCTCAATGAACTCATCACTGAATTCCCTTTGGTTAATAGCTTTGTTCCACTGGGGTACTTTATTAACAATACAAAACTAATGCAAAAAGTTTTGGGATTCGACTATACAATTTTTCATCTTCAACTGATTTTACCTATATAATAATGATTTTTTTTTATGTTTAAGTTTTAAGTGGGTGAAAATGGAGGAAAAAGGTCACGTACCCTAGCAGTTTTAACAGATCACAAGTACTCTGCAAAGGGACCAAAAAATTACATTGTGCAAGTCTCTCTCAAGAGCAGGCTTGCTCAGTTTACAAGTCAAACGATAAAATTTGTAGCTGCTAGCTCCACAAACTCCATCTAGAATCTGAAAAAGCCAGCACTTCTGCCTCGGTCAATAACACCAGTACAAGTTTCTATATTCAGAGCTTAGCTGGCCGTTTTGACAATACATGAGGTAGGATAGAAACTAGCTCACTCTTCAATAGTTTGAATGAGTCAGCAAGGCTAACAAAAGTCAAAATGAGTGAAGTGACCTGCCAAGCCTAATTAAATTTGGATTAATTTTAAAGCAGTATTTTAATAAAAAGTACCTCAGAAGTACTGTTCGGATGGATGGCTTTGCAGCATTTCAATGGATTATTTTACAGTGTCACTTGAGCTGCAGCTCCATCTGTTTGAGACAAGAGCCAATCAAGTGTTCTCCGTGAAGAGCCCCAAACTTTTTAATTCACTCCTCTTGATCCAAAATACCTCTAATGTGGTAACTTTCAGGGAACACAGCAAGTCCCATTTTTTTACCTAAGCTTTCCCGGGCTTTTGCTAACTCTGGGTGTAATGAGAGTTGGGGTCTTGATATAGAGGGATCATGTGCGACTGGGGTGAGCGATTCCTATTTTCTGGTTTTGGGGAGGCCGCTTTATTTTGTTGTATTAGTATAATTGAATTTGTAATGTAAGAAAGATTCAGAGGTGGGACAGGCACTTAGCAAGCAGTTACAGTATGTCTCAAAGATACACAGGAAGTAGATATGCTAAGAAAGCGCCTTTTTAAAAAACAGACTGCAGTGACACATAACTCAGTGAATGACTGCACAGAAAAACCTACAAGAGCCACTCTGAGTCACACTACTCTGAAACCAATTGGTTAAAACACTTGATGCTTTGCATATATCTCTTTTAGGACATTTGGTTGTAAATTCTCGAGGGTGCAGTGTGCACTAATCCAGGTTATTTACAATTTCCCCTGCACCGTGTTTAGAACACTACTATCACACCTCAACAACAAACATATCCTATCTGACAATGGCATCCATAAACATGAGTCTCTTGCAAACTGCACATCTACTCGGAAAAGGTGAGACTCAAGCTGAACCTGCACGGTATCTGCATTGGTGTTGTCAGGAAACAGAACAATGTGGGCCATGAAGTAGAGTGCAAATTCCTCAAGACTCAAGTTGTGGAAATGTATGCTCCAGAATGCCCTCCCATTGTAAAACTATTCCCTCACAAATCAGCAGCTTCCTGACTTCCAACTCAATGCCACTTCAAAACACCCCACTCAGACTGTTACATCCTCCTACCTCCAGTTAGCCATGCCAACTCTGATTTCCTAGCCCCTACACATTTGAACTTCAACATCCCTCTCCTATCCCCCCTAGAGACCCCTGCTCTTTCCCTCTCCGAGTTTCAGCACTTGCTGCTGTCCTCCCTAGGGTAAGGCTCTTAGGCTATGTTTACACTACAAGTGCTACAGCAGCATACTGCAGTGCTGCATTATAGACCAGTGATGTGCAAATGGGGGGGGGGGGGGGGGAAGAGAAGGATGCAGGGAGCAAAAGGTTCGGGGGGGCAGGGGGAGTTAGGCTATTCCCTAGATCGGTGGTTTTCAACCTTTTCCCCCTGCATTTACAGATTCCTAAAAAGCGTCAAATGGAGGAGCAGACCCCTTTGGAAATTTCAGACAGTGTGCGGATCACAGGTTGAAAACCACTGCCCTATATAGTTTGCTCCTCTGGCCTACTTCCAAGCACAGGTGCTGGCCCAGAGACACAATCCCCCAGAAGGAAGCCACTACACTAGCAGTTGTACCTGGTGAAAGTCTCAGGTTCATAACTCATCAGCCTAAAGATGAAACACAACCCCTCCCCCAACCATGTTTCAGACAAGAGGGCAATGATGGGACTTTTTAAGACTGACTGTATGGCACCCACATGGGTGCCACACACGAGTAACAGTAATGATTGCATTTTACACTTTCCATTAGGAGGGTCTCCGGGCACTTCACTTTCATCACAGATTGAAACCTCAAAGTACTGGCTAAACAAATAATACTAAATGCCTAGATCTTACACAGCACTTTCATCAAAACAATACAAAGAAGGACAGTACCAATACCCCCATTTTACAGATGGGCAAACTGAGGCACAAAGGTGGGCCAGGACTTGGCCAAGGTCACCCATCAGGCCAGAGGCTCCCAGGCCCTGTGGATTCAAGGCCAGCGCTCTCTCCACTGAGAGACACGGGTCTCAATGGGCTGGCCACTCAATCCAGAACAGCTATTTCAGTGTAAACTGGGGAAGCTGGTCGGGTTGGCGGAACTGGGGGAGGGCTTGGCAGGAACACATGGCAAGGACCCCCTGGGAGTGGATGTAGGGGCATTATGGGTTATAACTGTGTGGGGGCCAGACCAGGCAGGTACTGAGTGTAACGCCCCGGGGGAGGACGGGGGGGCGCAGTACTGATACCCCCTCCCCCACCCGGGGGTGTGTCCAGCAGGCGGGGGCGAGACTCCGCGCACGGCTCTTCAGACGCCATTTAACGGGGAGAGGGCGGGTACCGGCGCCGTCGCCACACGGGGACGTTTGCCGCCCGCCCTGCCGGGCCGTAGCCCCGACCTTCCCGGCTCCTGTGCAGCCCCTGCCCTGTTCTCACCTCATCCACCGCCCGGCGGGGCAGGTGCAGCATCCCCAGCAGCAGTTTGAGCTTGACGGCCGAGGAGAGGCCGTGGAAGCAGAGGCGGATGTTGTCGATCACCGAGGCCGTGAGCAGCGAGGCGATGCTCGGCGGCGCCCACAGCTCGTCCGTGGAGCCCAGCTTGTTGTGCAGCCACAGGCCAGTGTCGCTCTCCCGCATCGACGCCATCTTGAGAGCGGGGCGAAAAAAGAGGGGATTCTCAGCGGGCATTTTATGAAGACACCTAAACGAAGGGAGGGTGAGGACCCCTTTGGGCTGCCGTTTCGTTCGTAACCCAAAATGGCGGCGCCCAGTGGAGAAACTCCACCATGGGGGGGCAAGGAATTCCGTAATCTAAAATGGCGGCGCCCTGTTGGAGAGGAAGAGCCGGCTCTTGAGCAAATCTCCTGTGATGCAAAATGGCGCCTCTCTTCCGTATTGCAATATGGCCACCCCCTGTTGAGGGGAAGCGTTACCCACAGACTGGCTTCCTACCCCTCTCCGCGGGCTGGTTGTGTCCCCAATGCTCCCTTGTGGTAGTGACGGGCCACGGGACGCGTCTGAAGGTCGAGCGTCTTGGAGCGCGCCCCTCAGCCAGACGGAGCAGCGGCTCTGAGCCAGGCCCCTTCCCTGTGCCCGCTCCCTCTGCCCTTCTCTCTCCCTCATTCATTTCTTCCCCCTTCCCACACCTTCACCTCTTGTCTCCCCGCCCCTCTTCTCCGTCCATCCGCTCTCCTCCTGCCTCCCACTTCAGCCCCGCGCCTCACTGGCCAGTAGCCAGCCAAAGCCCAAGAACTCTCCGCTCAGCCCTGCGCGGAGCAGCTTCCCCGCGCCCGGGGCTGTGCTCTGCCCATTGGACGTTACCGACCGTTTCTGACTCGGTGGCAGCCTGTTGTAGGCTAGAGCTGGCCGGAAAAGTTTGCAATGTATATTTATTTATATAAAATATTTAAATATTTTAAATATATATAAGACTTCTCCTGTCTCCAATCTCTCCCCCCACCTTCTTTTGACCAGTCAGCCCGATGCTCTAATCTACACCCTCCACTGTGGTGTCTGGGCAACTCACTTCTTTGGTCCTTAGTTTGTTCCCCCTCTTTTCTTCCTTTCAAAACAACAAACCCAACCTGCCACCAAATTGATAGATGATGAAATCAACTTGCAATGCTGTGCTTTGACGGAAGCAAAGTTAACTGCCTTTTTCATCATCTCCCCAAAGATTTTAGTGGGGGGGTGATGGTGACAGGAGGAAGTCATCTCCGTGTTCACACCAAAAGCAGGAAAAATAGTCTCTGCAGGTTCAGGGCCTTATAAATACAGCTTAAAATGCTTATTTTAGTATAGCAATAAACTAAATTAAAATAGGGGAATCTTTCTGGGCATGGCTGGAGACCATGAATTTGGTGACCCTGCCACACTTAGGGATTTTGTATCTGCAGATTTTGCCACCTCACAGTTTACCTCTTTTTCCAGACCCTTTATGAATATATTGAACAGTATTGTTCCCAGTACAGACTCCTGGGGGACACCGCTATTTACCTCTCTCCATTCTGAAAACTGACCATTGATTCCTACCTTTTGTTTCCTGTCTTTTAACCAGTTACTGATCCATGAAGAGCCTTTGGTGAGGGAACTTGTCAAAGACTTTCTGAAAATCTAAGTACACTATATTCACTGGATCCCCCTTGTCCACATGCTTGTTGGACCCCCTCAGAGAATTCTAGTAGATTGGTGAGGCATGATTTCCCCTTTTACAAAAACCATGTTGACTCTTGCCCAGCAAATCATGTTCATCTATGTGTCTGATAATTCTGTTCTTTACTCTAGTTTCCAACCAGTTTGCCCAGTACTGAAGTTAGGCTTACCCGCCTGTAATTGCTGGGATCGTCTCTGGAGCCTTTTAAAAATATTCATGTCAGATTAGCTATCCTCTAGTCATCTGGTGCAGAAGCAGATTTAAATGATAGGTTACATAACCACAGTTAGTAGTTCTGCAGTTTCACATTTAAGTTCCTTCAGAACTCTTGGGTGAATACCATCTGGTCCTGGTGACTTTTATTACTGTTTAATTTATAATTTTTTTCCAAGATCTCCTCTGACACCTCAATCTGGGACAGTTCCTCAGATTTGTCATTGAAAAAGAATGGCTCAGGTTGGGGAATCTCCCTCCATGAAAACCGATGCCATGAAGACTGATGCAAAGAATTCATTTAGTTTTTTCACAATGGCCTTAAGGGGGATAAGTGCGCCTTTAGCATCTCGATCATCCAGTGACTCTGCTGGTTGTTTAGAAAGGCTTTCTGTTTCTTATATACTTACAGGGTTTTGTTTTGTTTTTTTAATATTACTTTTCGAATCTTTGGCTAGCTATTCTTCAAATTCTTTTTTGGCCTTCCTTTTTTTTCACACTTCACTTGCCAGAGTTTATGCTCCTTTCTATTCAATAGAATTTAACTTCCACTTTTTAAAGGATGCCTTTTTGCCTCAACTGCTTCTTTGACTTTGTTTATCCACAGTGGCACTTTTTTGGTCCTCTTACTACATTTTTTTAATTTGGGGTATACATTTAATTTGAGCCTCTATTACAGTGTCTTTAAAAAGTTTTCATGTAGTTTGCAGGGATTTCACTTTTGGCACTGTACCTTTTAATTTCTGTTTAACTAACTTCCTCATTTTTCTGTAATTCCTCTTTCTGAAATTAAATGCTACCGTGATGGGTTGCTGTGGTGTGTCGTCGTCGTCGTCCCCCCCCTTCCCCCCCGGATGTTAAATTTTATTATGCTATGGTCACTATTACCAAGTGGTTTAGCTATATTCACTTCTTGGACCAGACTCTGTGCTCCATTTAGAACTAAATCAAGAATTGCCTTTCCTCTTGAGGGTTTCAGGACTGGCTGCTCCAAGAAGCAGTCATTTAAGATGTCAAGAAACTTTGTCTTTGCGTTGTGTCCTGAGTTGACAAGTCAATATGGGGATAGTTGAAATCCCCCACTATTAGTGAGGTTTTTTTATTTTCGTAGGCTCTCTAATCTCCCAGAGAATTTCAGTCATTATCACCATCCTGGTCAGGTGGGCAGTAGTATATCCCTATTGCTATATTCTTACTATTAGAGCATGGAATTACTATCCATAGAGATTCTGTGGTACAGTTTGGTTCATTTAAGATTTTTATTTCCTTTCACTCTATGCTTTCTTTCACATATAGTACCACCAGTACAACCTATTCTGTCCTTCTGATATATTTTGTACCCTGGTATTACTGTGTCTCAATGATTATCCTCATTCCACCAAGTTTCTGTGATGCCTAGTATATCAATATCCTTATTTAATACAAGGCACATTTAGTTCACCCATCTTATTATTTAGACTTCTAGCATTTGTATATAAGCACTTAAAAATTGTCACTTTTTAGCTTTCTGCCATTATGGGATCACACCTCTAGTCCATCACATGTTGTGCACTTGGACAAATCACTTAACCTTTGTGCCTCTGTTGAGTGAAGTTTTTTACGTGTAACTTCCTACCTTTAAAAATATTGAAAAAACAAATTTCATCATGTGGTCATGTTGACACCCACATGGGTCATCGGATATGTAGGGCTATTTACAGTGACTCGAGTGTGAGTGAAAATCTCAGGGCAGACTGTTAGGAAGCAGGGCACAAACCCCAAATTGGCTGTGGCACCAGCTACCAGGGAAGGAGCCTCGGGGGAGGCCTGTGGCTGCTCCAGCAACCACCAGGGGGCACCCCGGGGTCAACTGCTGCCCTTGGGGCTGCTGCTCAGGCATTCCCCAGGGCCAGCTGCATTGGCTGCTGCTCAGGCGGTCCCTGGGGCCAGGTTCCCTGGGCCTCCAGAGTAGCAGTTGGGGTGGGGGCCGCTCCAGCAGCAACTGGTGAGACTGGCTGTGGGGCCACCTGAGTGACTGGCCCCAGGGTCAGCTGCTTGGGTGGCCATGGGGACAGCCACACTGGCTGGTTTCTGCAGAAGTCATGGAGGATACAAGAAGTCACAGAATCTGTGACTGATTCCTGCTATGTATTTGTCTGTTCTACTGAGACACGGGGACTCTGGCATGAGCTTGCACCTGGTTTGCCAGCATCACACGCACTGTTGGAACCTTTAGATCTATAACACAGACCTCTGCGACTTGAGCTGAGGGAGAAACTGATAGCAGTAGTAGGTGTCATCATCAGCCCAGTAGGAGATGGGATACTTTGCCAGGAGGTTTCACAAATCTTTGCTGGCAGCGGAGGAATGGTGAGTCTCAGGAATCTTGGATACCATGCCAGACTCTGGAGGGGAGCTTGCTGTGAGCACAGTTTCTTTCTATCCTTTCCAAGTGGGATCCCTTCTGCCCCAACCCCTCTAATCTGTCCTTGTCCCGTCCACGTCCCATTCCCCTTACCTAGCCAGTTCCAGTCTTCACTCCACTCCTTAGGCTTTTTTCCACTGAATGCATCCAATGAAGTGAGCTGTAGTTCACGAAAGCTTATGCTCAAATAAATTTGTTAGTCTCTAAGGTGCCACAAGTACTCCTTTTCTTTTTGCGAATACAGACTAACACAGCTGCTACTCTGAAACCAGAATTATGTTTGATTTTTTTGGCAACAGTATTACATTGTTGACTCATATTTAGTTTGTGATCCACTATAATTATATAGTGAACCTTGGGTTCCATGCCAGCTTCTGGAAAGGCGTGTCCTCTAGTGGTCACAGACCCTTCTGCCCCTTTCTCTCTCCCCACAAAAGACTGACCCCTTTGCCCCTCTCCCAGACCCCTCTCTCTTCCCCTAACTCCCAATCCTAGCCTGGACCCTGGGTTCCTTGTCCCAATCTACCCCATCATATGGTTCTTTTCCCTTCTGGATTCATTAAATTGGTTCCTCCTCTTTGTTCCCTGGGTACCAGAAGAGAGACAGTCTGCCTGCCCTCAGGACCACAGAAGAGCCCAAGCTGGAAGAAGCAATTGCAAAGGAAGTCCTTCTCAGCCCCAGTACCCAAGATGGAGTATGCTCAGTTGGTATATGCAAAGTTCTGTTGGCACATAGAAGCTGTGAGGGGATGGAGCAGGTCCAGTACAGACAGATTCTTCAGAGAATTTAGCTGCCAACCTTTTAACAAGTCTGGACTGAGAATTTGTGAGACGAGGTTTTTTTTTCTAAGGCTTATAACTTGGCCAGGGTTTCTCATGGAAACATCCTTGATACAAAGGCCAAATTTCAAACCCCTTCTCCAAAGCATGGAAGTGCAAGAGCATTTCAGCAAAATGATTGTATGAATTTTTTCTAACATGGACAAAACACATTTTCCCCTAGTTGGTTCTCAGAAGCACATGGTTTCAGCAAAAATAGTCTAACTAAATTCAGCCTGAGGCAGACAATTGACATGGAAAATGTCAGCCCAAGTGGTTAAAGGCTGGCAAAGTTATAAGCTCCTAATAACAGCTCTTATGATGGAAAGTGTCAGGGTACCTTAAGTATAAGACTTGCTATCTGTGCCACCAATAATGAACAGTAAATCTGAACCTTGGAAAAATTAATCTTCAAAAATGTATTTCAAATGCTATACAGCATTTGTTGTTTTAAATGAGTTTTTCCAGTGGTCCATACAGCTGTTCATACGTGTTAGACTTATTGCAAGAAATGAAGGAAGCAGAAAAGGGGAGAAGGGAGAACCAAATCTCAACTTAAACGCCTCACCCACAAAGGGCCAGGAAAAATAGAGCTGAGCGCACTTGTTCAAAACTTTTGTAGTGGAAAAAATGCAGATTTGGCAAACAGAATTTGTATCAATTTCACCAAATCGTTTAAGTAAAATCTAAAAAAAGAAAAATTTAAAAAAAATCTAAATGTTTAAATATTTTTGGAACAGGACATTTTGATTTTTTTCAGTTCGAAATGACTTTGTTTAGAAATTTCCTTTAATTTTATTAAATTAAAATGAAACCTTTGTTTTGGGTTAAAGAAAATGTCTTGCTCAACCCAAAACAATTTTTTGAAATTTTTTGATATGCTAAAAATTTTTGGTTTTGGTTCAGCCTGAAACTATTTCTCTCCACCCCCACCCAATTTTTTTCAGAATTGCTAGTGAACCAAAAAATCCATTATTCATCCGCCTCTACAGCAAAAGTAACGGTAGGACTCAGCCTCTTTTGTTGTTTGAGATGCTCTCAACGAAATTTTGGAAAACATTTTGAAGTCTGTATTTGCTATAAATAGTTTTTAAAAAGTTGTCACATTCAGTCATTTATTTTTCCAAGCTATTGTTGCAGGAGAACCTATGCCTTCCATTCTGGCAGTTATTTTTTGCCCAACATCTGTGCAATAGTTGTTTTGTTTTAAGCTACACATATTTGTGTCCTCAGGTCCCTTTCAATACTAAACTTGATGTAGGGATAAGTTTTTTTTTTTTTTGTAATAAATAGATTGTTAACATACAGGACGATATTTTTCTAGTATTGTCCAATGACCAAACAGCCATCAAGCTTATGTGATAATTTTGAGTAGAGTTGTTAGAATGTGAAGGGATGCTTTCCTTCATCCTATGAAATGTCAGAATGTTTCACTGTGGCAAGTGGGTGCAGCTTTATTTTAATTTCCACTGAAGAAACTTTTCCAGGCAATACCTGGTCCCATAAATGTAACCAAAAGGTGGCAGCATATTGTTTGCTATTCCTTTTCTCTCACTTTATGGAAACACTAGCAATAAGCAACTCAACTTTACTCCATCAGTCTGCAGAGATGCCAGGAAGACTGGCATAATCATTCTGACTAAGGCATTTAGGTGATGACTAATGTAAATTCAGCTGTTTGTTTAAAAGAACATAAGAACGGCCTACTGGGTCAGACCAAAGGTCCATCTAGCCCAGTATCCTGTCTACCGACAGTGGCCAATGCCAGGTGCCCCAGAGGGAGTGAACCTAACGGGTAATGATCTAGTGATCTCTCTCCTGCCATCCATCTCTACCCTCTGACAAACAGAGGCTAGGGACATCATTCCTTACCCCTCCTGGCTAATAGCCATTAATGGACTTAACCTCCATGAATTCATCCAATTCTCTTTTAAACCCTGTTATAGTCCTAGCCTTCACAACCTCCTCAGGCAAGGAGTTCCACAGGTTGACTGTGCACTGAGTGAAGAACTTCCTTTTATTTGTTTTAAACCTGCTACCCATTAATTTCATTTGGTGGCCCCTAGTTCTTATATTATGGGAACAAGTAAATAACTTTTCCTTATTTACTTTCTCCACACCACTCATGATTTTATATACCTGTGTCATATCCCCCCTTAGTCTCCTCTTTTCCAAGCTGAAAAGTCCTAGCCTCTTTACTCTTTCCTCATATGGGACCCATTCCAAACCCCTAATCATTTTAGTTGCCCTTTTCTGAATCTTTTCTAATGCCAGTATATCTTTTTTGAGATGAGGGTCCACATCTGTATGCAGTATTCAAGGTGTGGGCGTACAATGGATTTATATAAGGGCAATAAGGTATTCTCTATCCCTTTTTTAATGATTCCTAACATCCAGTTTGCTTTTTTGGCTGCTGCTGCTGCACACTGTGTGGATGTCTTCAGAGAACTATCCACGATGACGCCAAGATCTTTCTCCTGATTAGTTGTAGCTAAATTAGCCCCGATCATATTGTATGTATAGTTGGGGTTATTTTTCCCAATGTGCATTACTTTATATTTATCCACATTAAATTTCATTTGTCATTTTGTTGCCCAATCACTTAGTTTTGTGAGATCTTTTTGAAGTTCTTCACAGTCTGCTTTGGTCTTAACTATCTTGAGCAGTTTAGTATCATCTGCAAACTTTGCCACCTCACTGTTTACCCCTTTCTCCAGATCATTTATCAATAAGTTGAATAGGATTGGTCCTAGGATTGACCCTTGGGGAACACCACTAGTTACCCCTCTCCATTCTGAAACTTTACTGTTTATTCCTACCGTTTGTTTCCTGTCTTTTAACCAGCTCTCATTCCATGAAAGGATCTTCCCTCTTATCCCATGACAACTTAATTTACATAAGAGCCTTTGGTGAGGGACCTTGTCAAAGGCTTTCTGGAAATCTAAGTACACTATGTCCAATGGATCCCCCTTGTCCACATGTCTGACCCCCTCAAAGAACTCTAATAGATTAGTAAGACATGATCTCCCTTTACAGAAACCATGTTGAACAATACAGAACAATTTATGTTCTTCTATGTGTCTGACAATTTTATTCTTTACTATTGTTTCAATTAATTTGCCCGGTACTGACATTAGACTTAGTGGTCTGTAATTGCCAGGATCACCTCTAGAACCCTTCTTAAATATTGGCGTTATGTTAGCTATCTTCCAGTCATTGGGTACAGTAGCTGATTTAAAGGACAGGTTACAAACCATAGTTAACAGTTCTGCAATTTCACATTTGAACATTCAGAACTCTTGGGTGAATGCCATCTGGTCCTGGTGACTTTTTACTGTTAAGTTTCTCAATTAATTCCAAAACCTCCTCTAGTGACACTTCAATCTGTGACAATTCCTCAGATTTGTCGCAAAAGACTGCTCAGGTTTGGGAATCTCCCTAATATCCTCAGCCATGAAGACTGAAGCAAATTAATACAGACCTGTTATTTCAGTTGGTTCAATGGTTTGCACCTCATTTGTTTGGCTTCTGGCACAAGATAGAAAACACCTCTGAAGAAAGGTTACATTTTAGCTCACTGTTAGTCTGCTGAGGTAGCTTCAGGAAGAACATGTCCTTTACTGTTTGTTAATTAATCTAGACATTGTAAGCAGACTATTTGAAAAGCCTCAGGTGTGTTATTGATCTGTAGACTTGTGCCGAATTTTGTCCCTTGTGCCACCTTGGATAACTGGGCTGGGTGCCAGTGACCTCCCCAGGCCCAGGAAGGGGAGGAGGAATCCTTCATGCAGAAGTATACAAAAGTGAAATGGTATGAATACATCAGTCAAGGTTTTGCTGAATAACTGCATCTGTTTAAATGACTGCTTCTGAAAGATCTGCAGATGTCCAGTTACCAGCTTCAGAGGTAAGAGGCACGTGTGTGTGTGTTCTGGACATCACTTACATTGCATTTCTGTAGCCCAGAGAGCATCTGGGCATGGAGCCAGCAGCCCTTAGGAAACTCCAGCTAGTACAGAACACTGCAGCATGACTCCTCAGCAACAAGGGCCAGCGAGAGCACAGGAGCCTTGTCTTCCACGTCCTCTGCTGGCTTCCCACAGACTATCAAGTCCAGTTCCAGGTCTCAGTCTTTGCCTTCAAAGCTCTCAGTGGCCTGGGATATTTAAAATATCACCTAATGCTCTGGGATGAGGACCATCGTTGACAACTCCACTCCCCAGACACAATGGAGCTTTCTAACACAGGGGTAAAGCTTGCCTGTGCAAGAGACAGTTTTCTCAGGGGCTGTTCAGACTGTGGAACAAACTCTCACAGGAATGAAGGACCATCATAAACATCACCACTTTCTGTACTAAGTGCCAGGTGCACTCCTTCAGCCTAACCACAGAGCAATGGGTGCATGTGTAAAAACAAATCCCTCAATGTTACACTGAACAAATAAATCTTCCCCTGGGGAAAAGATGAGAGAACAAACCTTGCATGAAAAATGTGGTTTAATCCACTGTTGGAAGGTGCTCAGATGCACATGTTGTTGACGATAATACAAGGGCATATATAGTTTAGGAGCCCTGGGTTTTCATTCTTGTGTTATGTGAACTTGAATCTCTGTGTGGGGAGTATGGGGGTAGGAGGCTGGAACTTGGATTCTCTCTTTACTGTTTGCTATATTTTGGGTGTTGTTCTCCCTGAGGCAGCACTGAGAACTTGCTGGAGAATGTTTAGATCACTCTGTATCACTTGATGGCAATGGATGTTCTACTGTGCCGTCAGTCTGGTTCCTGCAACTTGCCCTCCTATCTGCTCTTTTCTTGGTTTACTTACTTTTCTATGATGTCAATACACTCTTGGGGCATGATCCTTTGAGGAGCCTCTGATGATTGGGTGTGGCATACAAATTTAGCACCAGCCACCACAATTTACACTAAACCTAGTTTACACCCTCCCTGGGGTCTAGTTTAGGAGTGAGGGTGGACACTGAATGCACCTGTAATGGAGTGTACCAGGCCCTTTGAGGCCCCCTCCTGGAGACCTCATGGTCCTCCTACCACACCCCGCCCCAGAAAAGGAGCAATAAAGGTGGGTTCTCCAGGCCTGCCTAGAAAGGATGCAGGAAAGCAGCCAATCAGAGCACAGCAGGCTCAGATTAAAGGAGCTGCAAGGGCTGAGCAGGTCAGTTGCTGGCTGGGACCAGAGGAGCAAGGAAGGTGGTCCTTGCTGGAGCTCAGTGGAGAACCAGAAGACAGGTTGTAGTGACATTGTTATTCCGTGAGGAAGAACTTCAGCCCTGAGTAAGGGGCTACATGGGAAGTGACCCAGGGAATAGCAGCAGCAACTATTATAGGGCAGAGAATGTTTAGATCACTCTATCACTCGAGGGCTAGTGGCTGCTATTTATAGGGTCCTTGGGTTGGGACTCTGAGTAGTGGGCAGGCTGGGTCCCCTCACTGGCAGGGTGGTCTAAGTCCCAAGAAGGGGTTAAGACTTATTTAGAGGCCCAAGTGAAGGGCAGGACTTAGAGTCTCCAGGGAGGAAGCCCTGGGGGGACTGCTCTATAACAGGGCAGGGATGGACTTAAAACTAGCCCAGAAGGGGCTGAGATCTGAGCCCAGAGACAGGGCTGTAGACATTACCATGGGCACAGGGACAGGCCCTGTTGGACCTTTTACCCTGGAAGGGGTTTGTTTGTTCACGTTTGACTGACATTACCAAAGGCACAGCGTTTCACTGTGTGTGACTTGGCCACAGGGTTGAGCCACTGAAGGCATGCCTGACAAGGGGCACCATGAGAAGAAAAGAGTGCAGGATTGCACCTGGCTGACAGAAGGCACTCATGGGAGGTGAGTGACCCCCATCACAAAGCCCCATTGCCTTTTTTGTGCATGCAAATATACTGGGGGAGGAGGTGAGATGAGAATTACTTCATGAAGTGTCTTATTTCTTTAATTGCTGTCATAGGTATGAGTTAATACAAATTTCAGTGTGCCAGCATGAGCAGATTTCAAAGCTGCTTGACTGTTGCTCCCTCTATTTCCCATCTCTTGCTGAACAGCTGGTCTCTAGAAACAGAGGAAATGTTTCCATTGGGAGATTTCAAAGCCAGCTTGAAAGAAAAGGGACAGAGGGTACGTCAATATGTTCTCTCTCCTCACTCTTTCCAAGCCCTGGACTATTAAAACACTCCAATTTGGGAATTGTCTATATTTAATGCCTTCATGGACCCAGAGTCATGTGTTCAGCTCAGTCTGTCGTTGACCTTTAATTAGCTGGCCCACTGTGAACAGAAATTCTGTTTTCCTTTATCCTTTACTTCAAAAGCATCTGCGGCACAACGTTATGCACAAAACACACAAAACTTATAAGTCTGCATGTGAGAATGAGAATGCCAATGCAATTTGGCGTGGCACAGGCACTGTCCCAATACAGCTTTGTTACATTTGTTTTGGGGATGAAGGTACTTTCTGAGTTGCTGTGCTTGTGTCTGATCTAAATGAAGATGGTTTAATTGGGATCTTAAGGCTGCCTTTTCTTTACTTTGAAGAGTTATTTCTGTTCCCTGGTCTCTTCACTGACATGTACAATTTTCTCTCTCTCTTTCTTTTTGGATTGGGAAGGCAGGCCAGAATTAATACTCCTTCAAGAATGTCATTCTGTCAATAAAACATCCAGAGGTGCACCTGTCCATTGAGATACTGAGTGCTAGTCACTATTACTCTGGGCCAGATTTAACTTACTAATCTTGAGTTTAAAAGTTTTTCATGTAATTGCCAAGCTTTTGAGCCACCTGGTTCCCTGACTTCACTCTTAGGAAAAAGTGACAATTTAGTATTTTCCTTTCAAAATTAAGGCTACATCTACATTACACACCTTTTAGCCACTACAGCTGTCCCGCTAAAAGGTGCGCAGTGTAGCCGCTGTTTGTTGGCAGGAGACAGCTCTCCTGCCAACAAAGCGCTGTTCACCGGTGCTTTTCGTTAGCAAAACTTTTGTCGTTCGGGGGTGTGTGTGTGTGTGTTGTTTTTTTTTTTTCACACCCCTGAATGACCAAAGTTTTGCCCTTCAGATTCCAGTGTAGACACAGCCTAAGTTTTGAATATTTAGAAAAAGACAGTAGTAAAGCTTTCAAAACAGCCAAAGTCCCAATTAGTCAATGAGTGGCTTGCATTGTCTAAGCCACTCTTAAAAAACAAACAAAACAATCAGCAAAAACCCCAAGCCAAAAATTCTACTGTGCATGTGAAAAAAACATTTATATGCTCATCAATTTTTTTTTAAAGTACTGAACAGATTTTATTCAGATGTGGCTTGCACCATAGCTACAAAACAATCCAACTTTAAATACAAAAAAGTTTGAGCCAACTTTGAATGATGCAGGGTCAATATTTTTGCCTGGAATAAGTAAGGCATAGTGCATTTGTTTAGTTTTTATACAAACTGCATCAATTCTCTTCAAAGTATCTCCCCTTCTCCCCATTCCCCCTGAGTCACTTCTGTGAGAAGACTAAGTATGGAAAATTACAGACTCAAATGCATTTGTTTGCAAGAGCCATGAGCAATTGAAGAGGTTAAGTGGGGGGTTATAATGGAGGTTGGAATTCAACTTTAACTGCAGAGTAAGCAGTAGCACAAGCTAATTTATCTGTCATGTTCGGTGTGTGTTTTTCAGATACTGAATGCAGCCGTGGTCTTGTTTGTGTCAAAAAGATATTTTTGTTATTATTGTTACTTAAAAACCTTTGTTTGCCTGAACCATGTTGTAAAGCTGCTATAAATCTATTGGGACTTTTTTCTTTTCTTATTTTGAATCTTGAAAAATTCTCACTTCAACTTGCACATTTAAAAAAACCCGACAATATGAAAACCACATGCCCTAAGTGTGAATACATTTTCCCCTCCATGATTCAGAGCAATATTGGATTGTACTGTAACTCTTCAAAGGTGGCAGTATTGTGACAGCAACATTTAGCATATCACAAGTGTTCCATTAGCACAGACATAGCAAGAATATGTGCTTTGAAAAATAAGAGGTTTTAAACCCCCTCCCCTCACAACCCCTTTCCTCTTTACCTTGATGCAGTTTCCAAGACGCAGTTGGAAAGCTAGTTAAAAGAAATCTCCCTTCTGAGATGAGATTGTTCTGCGGTGATGAAAACCCAGAGATGTCTGCACAGAGCAAGTTCCTTGGCATTAGAAAAACATCTGAGAAACAGAAAGCTATGTCTTTTTTTGTTTTCTTTTCTTTGAGACCGTGAGTGGCCATTAGGACTACAGCTTTGCATGATCGAGGGGATATAAGTGTGCCCTAAAAATGTACTGTGGAATCCCAGCATACGTGTTTGTATGCTACTCCAGTGCATGGCACTCTACTTCAGTGCATGGCTTTTCAACTTGCAGGTTGTGAACTGGACTTGGTGTCTATCTGGCCCATGTCTAGGGCTCCTAGGTAGTATGGTAATACAAATAAATAATTATATTAATAATAATAGACCTGTGTGAGTAACAGATTTTTTTTTTTCACTAGTAATTTCAAAATACTGAAAAAAATCTGTTTGGATCAACATAATACTGACACTTTCCTGAATTTTTAGTGAATCAAAAAGTCAGAGACAAAGTTGTTTCAGGGTGAACAAAATATTTTGTTTCAGTTTTGACCATTTTTAAAGGCTGTTGGATTTTTTTAAAATAAAATTGAGGGGAACTTCTAAACAAAATTGTTTTGAACTGTAAAACTGAAACAGTTTTACCTTTTTCTGAATTTTTTTTTTTTGACACACATAATTTGGCAACATCAGCACAAATTTGTAAAATGTTTCAGTATAAACAAATCTTCAATTTTTTGCTGAAAAAACTTTCAGGGGAAAAAATTTGCCTAGCACTGGTTGTGATCACCTTACCCATCCTGGATGGGTATTCCTGGGGTGGAAAAGGCAGGTCTTTAGTATGGAAAAGTTGGAGAAAAATTTTCTCTAGGGCACAGATGCCTTTCTTAGGGCATCCCCAGGATGAACAAGGGCCTTGGTCAAGGCGAGCCATAGGCATTTTTTGTTTGTTTTTTTGCCAGCCTGCAAAATATTTTGCAACCAGCTCTCCTGCCTCCAGATATCCTTAAACATAAGGTACTCTCGTCTCACACTCCCTGCAAAAAGTAAATTTTAACCTCTTCTTACTCATCATGAACACGCCCATCCTCCCACGCTGTGTGTTTATGTGAGTTAACCACGCAATCCTGTAGCCAATGATTGTAGTTTATTATTCATTTGTTGTGTAATATAACTAACTTGTATGCTATTTCATATATCATCATTGCATGCTAAATAGATTTAAATTGTCAGATTATAGAAGTATAGGATTGATCAAGAGTTAGAAGAGATAATTACTTAGATATCTAATACATATGGCTAAAACACAAGGCCTACTGGCTAAGGCTTCTAAGATTTTAGCTTATAGTCATACTAGGCCATAGGCTTAAGAAATGCTTGACACAAGTAAGTGATCAAAGAATGACCTTATGCCACAAGATTACTGGAAAAGATGCACCAATGGGTGATATTGCGAAAAATTAACTGTAAGAGAATTTTTTGCTTACAAGATACCAGATAGGGCACGTGTTAGAAAAATGTGACTAACTGCAGGGTGCACTATATGTGTAAATGCTAATGAGGTATAGTCAGAATCGCATTTAAAAAGAGGGTGCCCAGATGAGGAAAACTGAGCTCCGTATGGGAAACTCCAGCAGGAACCATTGCTCTACTGAAGATCAATTGGCAATGCAGCCATCAGACCTTAAGAATATTGCAAGTATATGAGTAACTTGTGCAAAGGTCTTTATAGAATTTCTATATACTTGGGTAATAACTTTAACTGTGACTTTAATAAAACGTGTAAAACAGATCAGACCTTGTACTTGTGAAATGTATGTGTGGTCACGATCCTTGGTCTTTATGTGTTCCTAGAGACTCTAAATCGGAAGCAAGTAGCAGAGGTGACTCACTTGGTTGAGCTTGAAACTGTAGCCACCAGTGCCGAACTCACGGTGTTGTAATACAACGTTACTAAATGTATTTAAAATAAAATAAAGGGCTATGATCCCAATTTATATAAATGTCTGTCTACCTATCTCAGTGTTTGTTTTTCTGCCTCCCATCACTGTCATGTCTGAGTGCCTTCCATGTAAAATGGACAGCAATAGTGAAGTCTTCAGGGTAATCATGTGGCTTTGAAAATCAGGGATGCCATAGAATCATAGAACATCAGGGTTGGAAGGGACCTCAGGAGGTCATCTAGTCCAACCCCCTGCTCAAAGCAGGACCAATCCCCAGCTAAATCATCCCGGCCAGGGCTTTGTCAAGCCTGACCTTAAAAACTTCAAAGGAAGGAGATTCTACCACCTCCCTAGGTAACGCATTCCAGTGCTTCACCACCCTCCTAGTGAAAAAGTTTTTCCTAATATTGAACCTAAACCTCCCTCACTGCAACTTGAGACCATTACTCCTTGTTCTGCCATCTGCTACCACTGAACAGTCTAGATCCATCCTCTTTGGAACCCCCTTTCAGGTAGTTGAAAGCAGCTATCAAATCCCCCCTCATTCTTCTCTTCCGCAGACTAAACAATCCCAGTTCCCTCAGCCTCTCCTCATAACTCATGTGTTCCAGTCCCCTAATCATTTTTGTTGCCCTCCGCTGGACGTCTTCCAATTTTTCCACATCCTTCTTGTAGTGTGGGGCCCAAAACTGGACACAGTACTCCAGATGAGGCCTCAACAATGTCAAATAGAGGAGTATGATCACGTCCCTCAATCTGCTGGCAATGCCGCTACTTATACAGCCCAAGATGCCATTGGCCTTCTTGGCAACAAGGGCACACTGACTCCTATCCAGCTTCTTATCCACTGTAACCGCTAGGTCCTTCTCTGCAGAACAGCTGCCGAGCCATTCGGTCCCTAGTCTGTAGCGGTGCATGGGATTCTTCCGTCCTAAGTGCAGGACTCTGCACTTGTCCTTGTTGAATCTCATCAGATATCTTTTGGCCCAATCCTCTAATTTGTCTAGGTCCCTCTGTATTCTATCCCTACCCCCAGCGTATCTACCTCTCCTCCCAGTTTAGTGTCCTCTGCAAACTTGCTGAGGGTGCCATCCTCTAGATCATTAATGAAGATATTGAACAAAACCGGCCCCAGGACCGACCCTTGGGGCACTCCACTTGATAGACATGGAGCCATTGATCTCTATCCGTTGAGCAAGATCTAGCCAACTTTCTATCCACCTTATAGTCCATTCATCCAGCCCATACTTCTTTAACTTGCTGGCAAGAATGTGGGAGACTGTGTCAAAAGCTTTGCTAAAGTCAAGGAATAACACATCTACTGCTTTCCCCTCATCCACAGAGCCAGTTATCTCGTCATAGAAGGCAATTAGATTAGTCAGGCATGACTTGCCCTTGGTGAATCCATGGTGACTGTTCCTGATTACTTTCCTCTCCTCTAAGTGCTTCAGAATTGATTCCTTGAGGACCTGCGCCATGATTTTTCCAGGGACTGAGGTAAGGCTGACTGGCCTGTAGTTCCTCAGATCCTCCTCCTTCCCTTTTTTAAAGATGGGCACTACATTAGCCTTTTTCCAGTCATCCAGGACCTCCCCCGATTGCCATGAGTTTTCAAAGATAATGGCGAATGGCTCTGCAATCACATCCGCCAACTCCTTTAGCTCTCTCAGATGCAGCACATCCGGCCCCATGGACTTGTGCTCGTCCAGCTTTTCTAAACAGTCCCTTTTTTTCTGAGTCCCTCTCCATGTCCTGTCTGTTTTACAGAAGCAGTGTATTACAAACCCCTGCAGAATGGAGGCATGAAGGAGTTGCCAGGCACCTGAGCTGGCTGAGTGAGCACATCTAGATCTGCCAGATAATAATGTTCCCACTATGCACCCCCCATGATTCTCCCCTGCCCCACAAGAAGTCAAGTCTCTGAGGAGGCTGAGAATCTTGACACCTCTGAATGACAGCCTACCGCTGCACGCATTGCCACCACATGCACGCATGCACTGCAGGTGAGTCCCAGATTTTGGTCGGGTGTCAGGGCCAGAATGGGGAACGAAAGGGATCAAGGTGGGAGACAAAGGAGTGAGAGTGAATGTGAGAGAGAATGGAAAAAGTGTGGCAGAGGGAGAGAGAGGACTTGGAAGACAAGAGGCAAGGAGCAGAGGTAAAACAAAAATAGACAAAAGTACAGAAGAGGTACCCTTTTCTTTTCCTGTCTCTCTTAGTTTGCTAAAACCTGCAGAGCTGGAACCTGGAGGGTTTTGGGCTGCTGATGCCTCCCCCTCACCATAGAAGGCTTAGGCTGAGTTCTCATGGGAGGACCCTGTGAGGCTGGGCTTGGCAGGAAGTACCGCCCAGCAGGACTTGAGTGACCCCCTCTCACAGCCCCCTGATTGGCCAATATCAGTACTTAAGCCAGGATGGGAAGCTGTCTGAGCAACAACTCAGACTACCTGCCCATTTTTGCTCCAGATCCTTGCTTGCGATCGACCCTGGTTTGTCCTTGACATCACTCTTTGATTGCTGTCTGTAACCTGGTGCCCAACTCTGACCTCCTGCCTGCCTCCAAGCATCTGACTCTTGGTTCACCCTCTGGCCTGTCTTGGACTCTGTTCTCCCAGTGCCTGACTCCTGCTCCAGCCACTAGGTCTGACTGCCCATGTCCTGGTCATAACACAGCTGACAAACCCTCCTGTGCACATCTCAACCCCCTCTAAAAAGTGTCTGTAAATTCTCTTTCACTGGGACAAGTGTTCTGGCTTTTCACTTTGAAAATCTGTCTGTCCTCTAAATGACCTGCTATTATTTTGAAACATAAATCCTGTCTCAAGCTATTAAACTGCTGTAAGTATCTGCAACTCCAGCTCAGGCAACTCCAAGTTTCCGAGGGATCATTCTGATGTTTTGGTGTGCAGACTCACCCATCAGACTGCCGGGCTTAAGGCTTTCAGACAATTCTGGGTTCCAGTGATAACAGTGCAAAGCCTGAGAATTTTTCTTGGTTCACTGAATGGTTAAGTGCCTAAAAACAGTATTCTGCAGAAATCACAGTAATGGGGCAATGCACAGTACAACAATGGGGTGGAGTGCATCTCCTGCAGTCTGTTCTTGATAACAAAATGTTTTCTAGAATGATGAAGGTGTAGCCTGTATCATTTCAGCAATGCTTTGTAGCTTATTTGTCAGGTATTAATAATCAAAGTCAGAATGATTATTGTCTCTCTGAGAACTGCATACCAGACTCCATAGCTTTTGTGTTGGCCCGGAAAACAATATTTTGCTGTCTAACCTCTAAAGACCCCATCCACTAGAAATATATTACTATGCCCAGGGCTGGCCTGAAGGCTTTGGGATAAAGGTTACGGGGATGATTCTTTGGTCTGTACCCCAAACTCAACATGCTCTTCACTTCTCTACCCCTCCTTGCTCATCTGGTCTTGTCTCCTGCCATCTCTGCCCTGCAGTTATGTCAGCCCCAACCTCCCCTTTTGGCTATTTCTCTCACAACCACTCCTGTGCTTTCCTCATACTACCCCTTACTGATAGAATACTCTCTGCAAGATGTAAAGCCACCCCCCTCTCCTTCAAATCCCTCTGCAAGACCGAGATTTACCATGAAGCTCACATGAATTGAATTTACTGCATTAACAGTGGCTTATCAGCCAATTGGGATAGATGAGGATTACAGAAAAAAGTTTATTGTATGTTTTGTTCCTCAGCTTCCTCATTTGGCTTGTTGCTTGTCCAAGACTGTAAACTCTATCTATTTTAGGGTTTCATACTGCTGTCCGTAGTAGCTGAGTGCCTTCCACATAAAATCAATAGTATAGTTCCTAGTAGGCTTCATGGGATCTCTAGCTCTTCTCCCTTTTGCAGGGTCAAAACTCTGTAAAATGATTTTTTTTGTGGAGTGGTGGTGCTAGGGGCTTGGGAATCTTCTTCTTCTTTTGTATGGCTTGGGTAGATAGCAACAATTACAAATTTATATTTAAGTTTGATAGCCAGCAAATGTTCCCTTCATAGCTCTGCTAGTGCATCTCAGTCCTGACCCTCACTTCTGCTATGCCCATCCTTTTGAAGCAGGGACTGCCAAACATGCCGCATCATGTGGATGTCTCATGATGGGGCAAATGTGCACAAAGGGCAAAGATGAAATCCAGGAAACTTAATTTTACATCTAAAAAAAGTGTTTAATCCACAACTTTCTATCACCATGATACATTCTGCAAGTAAATGTTCTAAATTAAGCAATGCATCCCCGTGTATGGCTCCAGGGATATGAGAGGGGAGCAAAGGTGCTGGCTCTGGGGCAAGGAGGCAGGGATAAAGTTCTTACTCTGGAACGTTCAGTGCCTCCAGTCTTGCTAATTCTTCTGCCTCTTCACATCCAGTGGCTGGGATTGCAAATCTGGAGAAACTTCCTGGGAACCAGCCTTGGGTGGGTGATTACAGACCCTTTAACTGGCCGTGCCAGACAAACCCTCTTGAGTGGGGAGGTGTAGCTAATCTTAACAACTTTACACAGAAACTTCACACTTAAGACTGAGACATAGCCTGTTCCTCTTTAAATTGTGCCTCTGTACTGAACTGCTCTGCACTGCACTGTTGCTATGGAAGATCCTTCACCATAGTAATAACCTCTTTCAGGGAAGGTTAAAAAGAAGCAGTGCACATGCTCAGAGATGCTTTTTCTTGTTCTGTTGGCAGTTTGCAGCGGCCATGCCAAAGAGACCATCACAAAGACAAGAGAAATCAGGTACTAATATATATATATATATATAATTTGAGGGATGGGGTGACTTTTGTTTCATAAAACTCCAAACAGGCCATGCTCTCAGATTTTTATTGACTGTCGGCTGCAAAGGCAGAGGCAGACAGCACTTGAAAGCATGTTGTGATTATGCTGCACAGACAGCTGTTTCTGTTCAAACACCTAACAGTCACTTCGGTGTGGTGTGAGATAACTGATGCCCCATGGGAATGTTTCTTTTACAGGGGGGCTCATTAAAAAGCTGAGCTGGGGCTGGGACTGAACATGTCTCAGGTGCCCTGAAAAAGTTTAGCTTAGCATCTGCTTCATTTGCCTCACTGATGCTTAAGCTTCAGCATGAGTTTATAGGAATTAGCCTCCCTTCATGATGCCCCTGTGCAGCTACAAGCACTTTAGATGTAAATGGCACTCTCCTAATCTGCTGTTTCAGGAGGACACTCTCTGTATTTTGCTGTATCTCGTTGCAAGGACTAGGATTTAACTGGACTTTTTCACTTGGATCACTACTGATTTAAAAAAAAAACACCCCCTTTTTTTGTGCTGTTAATGCTCTTACTAAATTTTACTTTGTTAGTGAAGATAATGAAGACCGGCAAAGGGAATCAATAAATTCACACAGTCTCTCAGTTCTGGTGTTGAAAGAATTACATAAGGGACCCATTTTTTTTTTTTTCTGAAACTGGAACCCTGAGTTTGTGGCTGCACTATGTGCAAGTCTGCCCACTGTAAACTTACACGTACAACTGGGGATTTGTGCATGGAACACAGATGATTGCACATAACAGTACTCCTTTGCTGGCCCAGCTGCCAATTTGCATATGCAGCAGGTGTTCATGCAAAATTTGCAGATTCATCTCAGTTGCAGGGTTTGTAAATGTGGCCTTGCAGTTGTCTAAACAGCAGGTTTATTCCCTTATGTTTCTGTTGCAAACCACCTCTTCTGACTGGGAAATGGAGACTGTACTGTATAATGCTGTATTCCAGCAGCACATTCAGAGCACAAGGATTCAACATTCTTATGCAACATTTTTGCTCAGTGTTAATATTTAAAAATTAGAAAAAGAACGGACAACTCATCCTCTTGCCTTCCTGTGCTCTGCTAATGAGAATCTGCATTCTCTGTATATGGAATTTATTTTAGTCTTGTTACTGCTTAGAACTGAGTAAGTTTTTCTCTCTGCCTGTGTTTGAATGTACAACAACTGGTCCCAGTATACAATGCTCCATCTTGACCTAAGCACCTTATCTACTTGGGTCAAGATGAAACCCTGCATACAAGAGCTGATAGTGTTCAGAGGCTTCACCTTTGTATTCAGATGAGATAACCTTGGGTCAGGCTGTCTAATACTTCTGGCCATGCTTTGGCCATCTCTGATGTACAGGAACAAATGTATGACAATAAGTAGAGGTTTGAAAACCAAGCAGGGATCAGAGGAGAGACAAGGGGGAATAATTCATGTCAAGAAACTGCTGATTTTGTTTTAGTTGTGACCAGAGACTTTGCCTATGGTTCTATGGGTTGGGGTTTAAGAAAAGCCTCCTCTCCTGCATGAAGGAAGCTGAGTGAAACCAGCTTATGTGATTTGTTTAGTTGCAAAGTAATTATAAAATTAATTTTACTTTTTCAGGTATATGTGAAAAAATGGTACATTAAAAATGAGAGGGAGAGAGCACTTTTCATCTCTAGGTTCAAATGCAGGTCAGCTTGGGAGCAGAGCTGCACAAATTCCCAGGGGTTAGCAATGACCCAACCCTTGCTGGTTTGGGTTTGTGTAGAATAGGACAAGTATCAGCATCACAAAGCTGGCACCCTAGTTAGCAATCTCAGCAGAGAGGCCAGAGGCTGACTGAGCCATGGGAAGTGAACTTCTATCTCATTCCTACAAGAAGTCCCTCTAGGCCAGGTTTGAGGCACAAGGGTGGGGTGGGGTGAAGAACTTGGCTCTGCCACTGTCCATGCTGTACCTGTTCTGTAGATAAAGAGAGGAATTTAATCTCCAGGACTGTCAGTCTTGTAACTATCATGAACGTTACAGACACAAAGGGTTTATTTTACAGAACTTAATGTTTCTCACTAACTTGTTTATTGCCCTTAATAAAGGAGGAAGTACCAATTAGCAGGATGCTGACACCTTACCTCCTAAGAAGAGTGGTCTTCATGGTTCCTTTGATTTTTGTAGTTGCGCTGCTCACCATGGAGCCCATTAAAGCCAACCAAGAAGCAGGAACCACAATCCCAGCTGAAAGTATGTACTGCCCTGTATACAGGTTATCTCATAACGATACATAAGTATAACACAGATTTAATGCTGCAGCATTTACAGGTTTTTAAAGATCATCTTAATTCAACCAGTCCTGGATACTTCGTGTATTCATTGCACTAGATGAAAATCTTCGGAACATACTCCCTCAGTCCCCCAGTGGCTTCTGGATCACATTCGTCCTCCCCATCCCCTCATCTAGGGCACCTCACTGCTCTGCATCTTCCTGCATTTCTTCAGTCCTACCCCTACCCTGCTCTCATGCTGTACTCTGCCAGTGTGGCACACCTTGACGCTCCGTTCCCCACCCCCTACATTTGGAGTGTCCTCTCCAGTCCTGTGTTCCATGCAATTATAGTCTCCACCTTTATATGGATCCTGAAGGACCACTTCTTTCCGCCAACAATGCCCTCACACGTGCCTTCGTGCCGGGCACTGTCCCCCAAACCGAACATAGTAAAAATTCTCTGAAATTAAAAAAATGAATGTACAGGATACCGAAATAATAATAAGCACATCTCATAATCTTTCATGATCACAATCTCCATCCTCCCATTCTCCTCCCTTTGTGTATAGACATCCGTTGAGCTGTGATGAGTCTAATTTACATTATAAATTACTTGGAACAAGGACCTATCATTTTATTTGTCTGGAAAGTGCCATCCTCACCTATGGTTCTATGTATATACTAAATAATAATAATAATTAATAACAAAATTAGACTAAGAAATATACTAGAACATTCAGAGATTAGGTCTTTTAATATATTTTTATACATTTCTCCTTTTATTCAACTGTAGCTGAATAGTTTGGAGTGTTATTTTTCTCAGGCAGGCAGACTTCTAAAGGACTCTGAAAATTCATCTTTCCTTATTAGCAGGCAGACTTCATGTTGTAGGATCCCGCTCTGGTTTGTCAAAAGTGTGTGGAAATCAGTCACAGTGTTTGCACAACAGGCTGAAGGTCACTGCTGCCTCACTCTAGTTCTTTCCTTGTTTCTTCTCAACTTCAGAGCGCTGACTGGCCCCACGTCCTGAACTTCTCATTTGAGCAAATCGCCCAGTGAAGTAATCAAAGATGCATAGAAATTAAGAGGCAAGTGAGAGCATATGGAATGCCAATAATAGTTGATTTTAGAGCATATTAGTACCATTGCTTTATCTAACTCTGAATTACTAATGTTTATAGTGTATAGTTTCTAGTTGGATGAAGATCTGGCCTTGGTTTCATAGAATATCAGGGTTGGAAGGGACCTCAGGAGATCGTGTAGTCCGACCCCCTGCTCAAAGCAGGACCAATCCCCAGTTTTTGCACCAGATCCCTAAATGGCCCCCTCATGGTCATCCACATCCTTGTGACCTGCAGCTTGGATTACTTAGACCAGAGAACACAAACCTTAAAAATGCTTCAATTAGTCCAGAGGGCAGCAGCCCTCCTCCTCAGCGACACCAGCCACTAGGAGCACCTCGGTACACTGCTCACTACAATGGCTCCCCATGGAATAATGGGTCAAATTCAAAGTCTCAGATCCTCACATCCTCACCTATGGTTCTATGTATATACTAAATAATAATAATTAATAATTCCTGTTGCTGACTTGCTGGTTGTCTCTTGGAAGGGCCTGATTCCGTAAAAAGTCATAGTCATCCCCTTTGATTACTATTTCATGCCATTTAGGAATGTCTTTCTACTAAAACTCTTCCCTAGGTCGCCCCTGTGTTGACTGCCATGCATTTGAATTCATGCAGAGGGCCTTGCAGGATTTAAAGAAGACTGCGTATAATCTAGACACACGGGTAAGGCGGCATTGGACTTTTTTGTTGTATGACAAAGTTGTTTTGCTTAGAAGTGGGTAAAATGGATACATTTTTGTTTTGGCAATATCAATCTACTGTACGTAACTGTTCTAAGGGATGATGTTGGGCAATATCTGTTCATTGCTCAGGATAACAGCATGAGTTCCCTAGCTCCCTCTTATTCAACGTATAAGCCCATTGAGAGGATTAGTGAGGAGCTGTGGCCTGCACAGCTTTCAGTATTTTGGTGACATCCCGCTCCGTCCCTAGCTCTATCTCACCAACTCAGTCAGTGCTACCAGCCCTTGGCCCAGTAGCTGGTTGGGGTTGGGTCACGGATGAGAGCTGGTTGGCTGGAGCTCATTCTGGATAAGACTGAAGTGATGCTGGTAGGCTGGGGAAAAATGATAAAAAAATATTCCAAGGATCGTACCTTCCCCTCTTATTGAGAGTGTTTGTCTACCTGTTGTCACTGGGGCTTGCAATCTGTGGCTACTGTTGTCTCCAACTGCCGTTAAACAGTAGTGGTGTCTAGGAAGGGTTTTTTAGTCTTTGCCTAGCTAGGATGTTGAAAGTGTTTCTTTCAGATGCAAACCTTGCTGCTGTGATCTTTGCCACCTTGATATTGCACTATTGCAATACACTCCACTTAGGGCTGCACCTTAAACAACCTGGAAGCTTCTTCAAGTCCTATCTTAAACTGTAGTGCAGTGTTGCTATCTGCTGGTAAACATCTGCCATGTTCCACCCTAGAGGTGGCTGCTTTTCAGTGGTAGGTGAAATGATTGCTGTGTTGTGCAATTTAAATACTCTGGGATGAAAGATACTATGTAAATATAAGATATTTAAATTACCTAAATCCAGGGAATGTGCATGGTTTATCGTCTCGCAGACATAAAATACCCCACTGTTGCATATGCAACATCAAAATGTACATAGCCCTTAGTAAGTTCTCCATTTTCTATGTTTTCTATTCATGCACATTTTTCAAAAGAAGCTTCTAAAAATTTGAGCATTATATTGTCTGACATCTGATTTATATAAGCAAATGTATTTTACAGGTTTGGAAGCGTAAAAGCACATTGGCATTTTTAGAGATTGGTCTGAGGACCCTTTGAAAGTTGAGCCATCATGTTTACATAAAAAGGCAGCTGCAGGGATGAAGATACCCTGAAGATTTTACTATGGAAAAATATGTGTTTCAGTGGGGCCAAATTGGTGCACAGCAGATGTATTCTTATAAACAAACCTGCTTAATAAATACAAGTCAAATGTATGTCAGACTCCTCCATGAATAAATTTGCTTAATGAATACATCTGCTGAGCATCACTAAAGCCAAAACTACATATTCATGCCATGCTGAAATGTACCAGTACATCTTTCCTTCTGTTACAAGTATAGTTGAACCTCTTCAGCAAGCAGAGCACTCGGCATCAGTTGATTATTCCCTGATACTCAGATTTCTGAAAGAGGAATAAAAAGGAGATCTGACCTGCCCAACTGGTTTCAAACTCCGTTTTTTTGCAGAGATTTCTCAGGACTGCTTCAAAAACCTCCATAGTGAATAAAGATTCTTAGCAGTTTCCCTTATGGGTTCTACAGTGTCATGGACACAGGTACTATGGCAAAGAAAAAGTGAGGCTGAATAAAAGAGAGAGCGAGAGAGACTGCAGAGAAAACTGAATTCTTGAGCCCTCAGGTCTCTAAATTCACTTGACGTTGGGGGAATGTAGCCTTCCCCTATTTTTGTTTTTTAAATTAAAGTTACATGAAGCTATTTTTACCCAAATGGCAGAGAGAAAATGAAGAGGGACGGGAAGGGTTTCAGCTGAAATGAATGCCAAGGACATGTATTTCCCAATTGTAGGTATGATAGCTGAGTTTGAGAACATCACTTTGTGAGATATATTTTTACAAAACCAGACCCTCTGTCTTTCTCCATCTTAATTTGGGAGTCTGTTTAAATCCAAATGACTGAATCCTTGAATATGTTTGGACTAGGAACGTCCACTGGGAATTCTCTTTATATGTTCTCAAAAAACATTAAAGCATTTAATAGTCGTTGAGGACTAAATGGCTCAGGAGATTGCTAATGAGTTATGGAGCTTTTCAACTCTCTGCTCACTAGTTCACTCTAGCTCGAGTTAGTGCTTACTAGAAGTTTCAGTGTGATAGTTTACATATCGATATGTCCAGTTGTCTTAGTGTGTTATGTATATTTGGCAGATTATTTATAATGCGATTAGTTGTCTTAATCTACTTCCTATTGCTGCCATACCATCCCATAAACCATTGATACCTTTGTTGGTATTGTGACATCCTGCTCAGGACACCCAGAACTGTGAGCCACTGTGCTACCCCTCCGCCTTAGCAAGAGTGAGAGCTTTCCTGCTGCTATGCTCTGTGCCAGCTCCCTGACACACCAGCCTGTCTGCCTTGCCAGCAAACTCTTCAAAACTCTGCCTGTCTAAACCTTGCTTTGCAGGTAATGATCAGGGAACCCCAGTTCCCAAGTTCCACGGAGATGTCTCCCTGCGGTGTCTAGTCCCTCTTGCTGGACACTTGCAGAAATTACTAGGTTCGCTGCCTCCAAAAAACCAGACACATCAGCCTGTTAGGTGAGCTGAAGACTCACACTTCACTTTAATACGCAGCACTGAGATGGTTTTGTAATAAAACAAGAATAAATTTGTTAACAAAGAACAGAGATTTAGCAAGAGAAAAGGAGACAGCGGTGGTTACAAAGAAAACAAAATTAAACAGTCTTTCTAGAGACTAAAATTTAAGATTAGCAAATTATAGTCTTTGCCTAAGCAGTTTTCATATTCACAAGTTAATCAGCATCTCCAGCCCTCCAAGTCAGGGAACCCAACGTTCACAGAATCAAAGGGTGCTGTTCCTTTTGCTCCCTAAGGGATGGATAACCAAATTGCCTTTTTGTTCCCCTTCTATTGCCCAAAGTCCATTGTCTCTGCTCTAAGAGTCAGGAAGGATTCCTGGAGTGCAGGCTCTATCTGTCAGTGTGCTCATTAAGCTGCAGCGTGTTAGCTTGATAACTTCATTTACTACATATGTAAATATACATTCATTGTCCTCTGCCAGTAATCAAGCAGGTCAGACACATTTCTTTCTCTAGCGCAGGCTGGGTTTAAGCACTGCCTTCCAAATACAATTTAAGAACATGTTTGCAGCACATACATACAACCTGTACATAGATGACACAATGATTTTCAGGACCATGGTGTGACCAGTTTACATATGATACCTTTTTAGATACATACTATGACAACAGTGTGTTGGGGGTAATGAGGGTGTGAGACCCAATGTGAGTTACAATATGGTGGGCCCTCTGCTAGTTGGCATTGAAGGGCTCCCTGGGTCACAGGTATATTCATTAGAGACATCCTCTACCTTGAGACAATAGACTCAGTTTGTAGATGAGATCGATGTGATGATCCTATGGCTCTTTTCCGTCTCTAATTCATAACTAGATGTGGGTGGGAAAAGGTTTTCTTATCCTGTGAACCTTTCTGAGATATCAAAAAAAAAAAATTCCTGTTTCACATTAGGACAAAACCAAGACATTTTGAAACTTTTCACGAAGACCAGAGACAATGCATGTAGAATAGACAATAGCTTGGTGGTTAGGGCACTCACTTGGCATATGGGAGACCCGGGTCCAAATCCCTGGTTTGAGTCAGGTTACTGGTTATTCTGGGAGCAAGCTCTTTGGGTTTGACCAGAAATCCCATCTGGGAAACCATTGCTGTCAAAACTGGTATATTTCTGCAAAAAGTTTTGGTTTTTAGTAAATCAACATTGCTCATGTAATGCTGATTTAAAAAAAAAATCTGCTCTTTACTATAGTTACCATCAATTTGCCTGGTACTGCAGTTAGGCTTTTTGGGCTGTAATTGCCAGGATCACTTCTAGAGCTTTATCAGACACATAGATGCAAACAATATGTTGGGGGAAGAGTCACTTTGGCTCTTGTATAGGGAAATCATGCCTCAACAATCTATTAGAATTCTTTGAGGGGGTCAACAAGCTTGTGGACAAGGGTGATCAGGTGAATACAGTGTACTTGGACTTTCAGAAAGCCTTTGACAAGGTCTCACACCAAAGGCCCATAAACAAAGTGAGCAATCATCGGGTAAGAGGAAAGGTCCTCTCATGGATCAGTTACTGCTTAAAGGATAGGATAAAAAGAGTAGGTTTTCACAATGGAGAAAGATAAATAGTGGAGTCCCCAAACGATCAGTAGTGGGACGTGTGCTGTTCAGAATACCCTGTATTCATAAATGATCTGGAAAAGGGGATGAAGGGTGAGGTGGCAAAATTTGGAGATACAAAATTATCAAGATAGTTAAGTCGAAAGCTGACGGGGAAGAGTTACAAAGGGATCTCATTAAACTGGGTGACTGGGGAACAAAAATAGCATATGAAATTCAATGTTGTTAAGTGCAATGTAAGGCACATTGGAAAAAATAATCCAGATTATACATACACAATGATGGGATCTAAATTAGCTGTTACTACTCAAGAAAGAGATGTTGGAGTCATTGTGGATAGTCCTTTGAAAATATCTGCTCAATGTGCAGCAGCAGTCACGTTAGGAACCATTAGGAAAGGGACAATAAGAGAAAATATCGTAATGCCACTATATAAAGCTATGGTACACCTGCACCTTGAATATTGCATACAGTTCTGGTTACTCCATCTCAAAAATTAGAATTTGAAAAGGTGCAGAGAAGGGCAACAAAAATGATTGGAGATATGGAACAGCTTCCATGTGAGGAGAGATTAAAAAGACTGGGCCTGTTCATCTGAGAAAAGAGAGGACTAAGAGGGGATATGATAAGAGGTCTATAAAATCATGAGCGGTGTGGAGAAAGTGAATAGGGAAGTGTTATTTACCCCATCACCTAACACAAGAACTAGGGGTCACCAAATGAAATTAATAGGCAGCAGGTTTTAAATAAACACAAGGAAGAACTTCTTCACACAATGCAAAGTCAACCTGTGGAACTTGTTGCCAGGGGATGTTGTGAAGGCCAGAAGTATAACTGGGTTCAAAAACAAATTAGGTAAGTTCAGGGAGGATAGGTCCATCAATTCCTACTAGCCAAGATGGTCAGGGATGCAACCCTTCCTCTGGGTGTCCCTAACCCTCTGACTGCCAGAAGTTGGGACTGGACGATAAGGAATGGATCACTCCATGTTCTGTTCATTGCCTCTGAAGCATCTGGCACTGGCCAGGGTCAGAAGACAGGATACTGGGCTAGATGGAGCATTGGTCTGAACTAGTATGGCCATTTTTATGTTCTTATGATATTTTCTGATGAAATCCCATTTCATTTAAGAATTCCCGATTAGCTCTTCTCATAACTTTCTGTTGTAGGGTGAGACTTTTAAAAGCTCCTCGGGGAACTAGATGCCCAGCTCCTATTGAAAGGAGTTGAGCTCTCATCTCCTTTAGCTGCTTTTTAACCACCCCCCCCCAATCTAAAGTTCTCCCCAGGAGAAAATACTATGAGAATGGACCATATACTCTTTTATTACTAGCTGAACTTGATCGATGCTTTGAAATGAACTTGGCATTGATGGCTATTTATCTATGTAAATATTGGCAAAACAGATATTCACGTGTTCAAAATTCTAATGGGTGTTTTTTAAAGTTAGCCATGAGATGTTGGATGTGTTATCATTATTCTAAAAGGTTAAGAGTTCTGAGACCATGAATATTTAGGATAAATGAACCAAAAACCAGGTTCCAAACAACCGTGAACATTTGGCTGGGTTCAGAATCTGAACCTGGATCCAGATCCAAAGTTTTTAGTGTGTTCTTCTCTCTACAATGGGCCTAAACAAAACCTCCACTCTGTATAGCCATACATTTTGATGGACTCAAAATCCAGGTCTTAACTTAGCAGTTGGAACCCATCTTTAATTTTTAGGTAAAAAGAAAAGGAGTACTTGTGGCACCTTAGAGACTAACCAATTTATCTGAGCATGAGCTTTCGTGAGCTACAGCTCACTTCATCAGATGAAGCTGTAGCTCACGAAAGCTCATGCTCAAATAAATTGGTTAGTCTCTAAGGTGCCACAAGTACTCCTTTTCTTTTTGCGAATACAGACTAACACGGCTGTTCCTCTGAAACCTGTAATTTTTAGGTGTAATTTTAGGGATATTTAATTTTGTGTGTAAACAGTTTTATGATTATGCTCAACTAACAGCTACCAAAACCTCTATTTGTTCTTTATTAATTTCTAAACTATTCATGATAAATTAGCATATGCAAAGCATATCAAATTAGATGTGCTCATGGAAATAAAAATAAAACATTAGCCATGGCTGAGTTTGTAAATTTTCACTAGAAATATAAAAGTTGTAAGCAGCCTTGAGACTTAGCTCAGAAACCATTGGCAAGCTGTTGGGTTATCGTATTCAAGCCTTCATGAGTAAGGTGAAGGTGATATTTAAAAGGTAGATGATTGAGTGGTTTTAAGTGATTAGCAAAAGTCTGATTAGACTTTCCCACTCAGAGTAACTGAAGGATTCAGTATTAGTGATTCCCTGAATTAGAGACAATACAATTGTATTTTAATGGTTTAACAACTGGCAAAAGATTAATATAGGAGAAAATGTTTATTGGTTAGAGAAGAGGGTGGGTGCTCTGGACACTTTGGTTCTAATCCTAGCTCTCCCACCGACTCCCTGTGTAACATGGGCAATTCACTGAAGTCAAAGAAAATTCTCCCAAATTTGGCCATGTTAGAAGCCTTTGAAAATCACAATCCACACATGCTCAGCAGAGACTCCTTTGATTTTAACAGCTAAAATCTCCAAAGATTCTATCCTTGCTGAGCATGCTCCTCCCTTTACGGCAGTGCCTGTGATGCTGGGACTAGGTGAATGGGGAAGCTGGGACTGGGAACTAGATGCAGGGGAGAGGAGGACTGGGACAGGAAGAAGGCTAGGAGACTGGGAGAGGAAGCTGGGGCTTTGGAGAGGCTGTTACTGGCTGGGCAAGGAGACTGGAACTGGGAACCAGGGTGAAAGGACGGGAGAGACAGATAGGAGGAGGAGCCAGGAGGGGAGAACTGAGAATGGTTGTACAAGGAGACTGGAGTCAAGGAGTTGGGGGGGTGGGGAGAGGAAAACTGGGACTGGCTGGGCAAGGAGAGAGGGACTGGATGTGGGGAGGAGGAGAGATTGGGAGTGGGGGATTCTGGGATTGGGAGTTTAGGACTTACTAGGCAAGGAGACAGGACTGGGATGAGAAGCCTGAGGAGTGGAGACTGGGATTGGAAGAAAGAGCCAAGGGTGGGGAAAGAGACTAGACTGGGATGGGGACAGGTTGGAGGGGACAGAGCAGAAGGACACTTGGGAGGAATGGGCAGAAAAATCTGTGCCCACTAGAGTAGTGGTTCTCAAACTTTAGTAACCCGAGGACCCCCATTTTGATTTAAAATTTTGCCATAGACCCAGGTCCTGCCGCCACTCCACCCCTTCCCCCAAGGCCCCACTCTGCCCCATCTCTTCCCACCCTTGCTCCACCCCTGCCCCTCCTCTTCCCCGCCTCTTTCTACCCCCTCCTCCTCCCTCCTAGCACTTCCTGCATGCTGGAGAACAGCTGGTCCCCGGCATGCAGGAGTTGAGGGTGGGAGGGGGAGGAGTTGATCGGCTGGACCCGCGGACCCCCTGGAGTACCCTCACGGACCCTCAGGGGTCCGTGGACCCCAGTTTGAGAAACTCTGCACTAGAGCATTTGCCTCTCCAGAGCCTGGACTGGTCATCAGAAATGGTCACTGAAAATGCAGTTATTTGCCCAGCTCTACTCCCGATTCTTTTCATTGTCTGTTCCCCCTCTGAAATAAACACAAAATTCTGATTTTAAAGTCCTCCCATATGCTGCATCTTGGATAAATAAAATATTTCACCATCCCCAAATCCACCACCTCCGTTAAATATTTATACAAAAACACTGTCTTGTCCCCACACACTTCCCCTCAACCTGCTATGACACTCAGGGCACTACATTAAATGGGGTCATTATAAATACAAATTATTTTAAAATTCACAATAATTTTTTAAAACCTCTCGTATACATTAGAGTTTTTAATGTGAAAGTAAATAAATAAAAGCTAGAGTGTACCAGGTTCCTATATTTTTCAGATCATCACAGGAAGTGTTGCCATACTATTATGCTAATTTAATAGCCAAAGGCTTAACTACCATCTATAACTAAACAATATGTCTGGTTATTATTCTCAAGCCTCATCATGTAGAACCAAACTGGTGTCTCTTGTGACATAAATAAAACAGACTTTTCTTTAGGAGCTAATTAGTTGTAGAATTCTGACGCTCATTTTTTGATGTTGCTTTTTTCTTTCCCCCTTCCTTGCAGACAGAAACACTGCTTCTTCAAGTGGAAAAGAGAACTCTGTGTGACTGTGTAACTGCCGACACGCTGAACTGAACACTGGAGAAGAGCCAAAGAGTGTCACCTGTTCAGCTGGTTTTAAAAATGCTGCTGGATGTAATATGGACAGCCGTGTGGAGTACATATTGCAAGCATGTAAGCCCCAGTGTAGTGAGGCAAGCAGGTGGGGAGTTTCTTTATGAGATGGTGGGGTGGAGTGTGGTTGTCTGTCTTATGCTTGTTTTCTCCAGTAGGAAGGTGCTACTATTGTGGCTTGACTGATTGATCATATCAAGACAGAGCATTGCATGCTGGAATCTGTAGTCTCTGCAGGCTGTATCGCCATATTAAAGGTAATGGTAGCTGCAATCCATTCTGTTTATTTATAATGCAAATTTGGACCAAATTCAGCCAATTTGTAACTGTGGATTTCAATGGTGTTCCTACACCTGCTTCTATCTGGACTGAATTTGGCCCTAAACAGGACTCCTTGTCTCCTGGGAAGCTGTCGACTTGGCTGGAGAAAATGTAGGTATCCTTGAATTAAATCATACACTGTCACTACCCACTTAGCACTCCCACTGTATGCCAGCACATGTAGAAATAGCTATTGTTTTACCAATCTAAATGCATGTTGTGTACAAAGGGAAAAGGACAATAAAACTACTAGAAAAACAGGTAATCCCACACCCAAAGGTACCTTGTTTCTGTTTGAATGAGATCTTGACAATAGGCTAACCTAAAAGTTCAGTGTGACTAGGGGAAGGAGGAATCAAATTTTCATTCACTATCACTGTGCAGTGTAGCTTTTCTTAGAGAAAGTACGTCCACCATAGGAATGTACATGGCACTCAGATGTCACTGAGCTAGTTAGTGGTGTCACAAAGCAACACACTATTGAACAAGTCAACTTTTGTACACATCAAAAATGTCTTCTAAGTTCTCCACAGGGTCAGTGCTCATGCACTACGGGAGCCCTGTTTTCTTTGCCCTCTGCAAACCTGTGTATATATTGTAAGTATGAAAAGGGGAAGAAGTGAAAGCATTAGAAATTACTGAGTTATGTTTAGAGAGACAAGCTGTAGAGAGACAAGGAGGATGAGGTAATATCTTTTATTGGACCGACTTCTGTTGGTGAGAGAGAGACAAGCCTTCGAGCTACACAGAGCTCTTCTTCGGGGCTGGGAAAGGTAGAGTGTCACAGCTAGTTGAGCATAAGTAGTTAGCACATGGTCTAAGGGACCATTCAAGGTGAAGTGGCCTGTTTAACCCCTCCTGAAAGAAATCTTACCTGAATCCCTGTTTCTGGCCCCCCAAATAAACCCCCAACCTCTCCAAGCCCATCACTGGAAGCAAGCTTTATTTATTTAGCTACTTTTCTTTCAATCCCTCCTTAAAACTCACTCCTGCTGCCAGGCCTCCTACAAGAAGTAAGTTAATTAATCCAAAACTTCCCAAACAACTAAACTCCCACCCCCCTTTTTAGTACATTAACAGAACCATCAGGGCATGCATATAATCTTATTACTATAAGCTTTGTCCTTCCTCACTCCTTCCATGCATTGTGTGTTAGCCCCTGGCTGTGTCACTATAAAATTAAATTAGAAGCTCTTTGAGGCAGAGCTTTTGTCTTATTTGTACTGAAAGTGCCCAGTACACTTTGCGGTGATGTAAACATATAAACTAAGCATCACCATGTTTATCTGTTGCTCTAGTTTCATGTTCAACATTTATTTGATAACATACATACACAAAAATGGACCTGTGTCTCCAATTGAATATAACATAATCCACCTAAACTAATACCCTTTCCCCATCATCCATGGAGATGCTCAGTATCTATATTATGACTCTGTCTTTCTCACAGTCACTCCACGGGAGTGGAGAACAGCAGAAATAGGGGCTCAGAGGTCTTATGAAAGAACTGAGTTTTAAGAAGTGATCTGACAGAGATGAGGGTGGAGGCATATCAGACCAGGTCAGAGGAATTCCAAATGTTGGGGGCCATGAAGAAGAAAAAGACACAAAGATCTGAAAACACTTCACTTCTTTATGTAATCAGTCCCCCTTTGCAAGTATTTACTAGTGGTCAAAGACATGCAGCCATAGTGGGGTAAGGAAACATACCACAATAAAAATGTTATTTTAAAACTATTATTCATTCTGAACTGTGGAGCAGGGACTATAGTAAATGTATGTAATAAACACCCAGGCAAAGGACTGTTTTCTGCAACTGGTCCAGTATCTCCTGATGTCACTCTCTGATTGCTGCGGTGAACAATGAACTTGCTGACTTCCACCACGTCAGTATGTCTGCATGAGCCTTGAGTGCAAGCTGCTTTTTGAATCAAGGCACCTGATACTACCCTCTGAGTCTCACTTAAGTAGCCAGTCGGTGGTTAAAACTAAGCAAAAGTGGATGGGAATCTGGGAGGCAGTGACCATGAGTTGGTTGAGTTCAGGATCCTGACACAGGGAGGAAAGGTAAGCAGCAGGATACGGACCCTGGACTTCAGGAAAGCAGACTTTGACTCCCTCAGGGAACGGATGGGTAGGATCCCCTGGGGGACTAACATGAAGGGGAAAGGAGTCCAGGAGAGCTGGCTGTATTTCAAAGAATCCCTGTTGAGGTTACAGGGACAAACCATCCCGATGTGTCGAAAGAATAGTAAATATGGCAGGCGACCAGCTTGGCTTAACGGTGAAATCCTAGCGGATGTTAAACATAAAAAAGAAGCTTACAAGAAGTGGAAGGTTGGACATATGACTAGGGAAGAGTATAAAAATATTGCTCTGGCATGTAGGAATGAAATCAGGAGGACCAAATCGCACCTGGAACTGCAGCTAGTGAGAGATGTCAAGAGTAACAAGAAGGGTTTCTTCAGGTATGTTGGCAACAAGAAGAAAGCCAAGGAAAGTGTGGGCCCCTTAATGAATGAGGGAGGCAACCTAGTGACAGAGGATGTGGAAAAAGCTAATGTACTCAATGCTTTTTTTGCCTCTTTCTTCACTAACAAGGTGAGCTCCCAGACTGCTGCGCTGGGCATCACAACATGGGGAATAGATGGCCAGCCCTCTGTGGAGAAAGAGGTGGTTAGGGACTATTTAGAAAAGCTGGACGTGCACAAGTCCATGGGGCCGGACGAGTTGCATCCGAGAGTGCTAAAGGAATTGGCGGCTGTGATTGCAGAGCCATTGGCCATTATCTTTGAAAACTCGTGGTGAATGGGAGAAGTCCCGGATGACTGGAAAAAGGCTAATGTAGTGCCAATCTTTAAAAAAGGGAAGAAGGAGGATCCTGGGAACTACAGGCCAGTCAGCCTCACCTCAGTCCCTGGAAAAATCATGGAGCAGGTCCTCAAAGAATCAAGCCTGAAGCACTTACATGAGAGGAAAGTGATCAGGAACAGTTAGCATGGATTCACAAAGGGAAGGTCATGCCTGACTAATCTAATCACCTTCTATGATAAGATTACTGGTTCTGTGGATGAAGGGAAAGCAGTGGATGTTGTTTCTTGACTTCAGCAAAGCTTTTGACACGGTCTCCCACAGTATTCTTGTCAGCAAGTTAAAGAAGTATGGGCTGGATGAATGCACTATAAGGTGGGTAGAAAGCTGGCTAGATTGTCGGGCTCAACGGGTAGTGATCAATGGCTCCATGTCTAGTTGGCAGCCGGTGTCAAGTGGAGTGCCCCAGAGGTCGGACTTGGGGCTGGTTTTGTTCAATATCTTCATAAATGATCTGGAGGATGGTGTGGATTGCACTCTCAGCAAATTTGCGGATGATACTAAACTGGGAGGAGTGGTAGATATGCTGGAGGGCAGGGATAGGATACAGAGGGACCTAGACAAATTGGAGGATTGGGCCAAAAGAAATCTGATGAGGTTCAATAAGGATAAGTGCAGGGTCCTGCACTTAGGACGGAAGAACCCAATGCACAGCTACAGACTAAGGACCGAATGGCTAGGCAGCAGTTCTGTGGAAAAGGACCTAGGGGTGACTGTGGACGAGAAGCTGGATATGAGTCAGCAGTGTGCCCTTGTTGCCAAGAAGGCCAATGGCATTTTGGGATGTATAAGTAGGGGCATAGCCAGCAGATCGAGGGACGTGATCATCTCCCTCTGTTCGACATTGGTGAGGCCTCATCTGAAGTACTGTGTCCAGTTTTGGGCCCCACACTACAAGATGGATGTGGATAAATTGGAGAGAGTCCAGCGAAGGGGAACAAAAATGATTAGGGGTCTGGAACACATGACTTATGAGGAGAGGCTGAGGGAACTGGGATTGTTTAGTCTGCAGAAGAGAAGAATGAGAGGGGATTTGATAGCTGCTTTCAACTACCTGAGAGGTGGTTCCAGAGAGGATGGTTCTAGACTATTCTCAGTGGTAGAAGAGGACAGGACAAGGAGTAATGGTCTCAAGTTGCAGTGGGGGAGGTTTAGGTTGGATATTAGGAAAAACTTTTTCACTAGGAGGGTGGGGAAACACTGGAATGCGTTATCTAGGGAGGTGGTAGAATCTCCTTCCTTAGAAGTTTTTAAGGTCAGGCTTGACAAAGCCCTGGCTGGGATGATTTAATTGGGGATTGGTCCTGCTTTGAGCAGGGGGTTGGACTAGATGACCTCCTGAGGTCCCTTCCAACCCTGATATTCTATGATTCTATGTTACATTCTTATTGCTTTGTCAATAAAGTCTGAAAATGGAACTGTGCTGAAAACTCAGAGTTTATACAGCTGTTCTTTTTTGAGTTACAAAATCAGCTTGCAGGAGTGCTGACTTTTGCTGTTGCATAGGGTTAGCGGGATGTGCATTTCAAGAGAGGCCTGCATTAAAGTTATTTTCTTTGAAGGACCTGAATGTTGTGTGTGTTCTTGCCTGTACGTTACACTGATTGTCTCTGCACTGGCAAAGACTACTGCAGCTAGGGGCAGTACTCTATTAATGATCATTTGATGTCTAAGTATTATAGTTCATGTTATTTTTAATGTAATAACTTCAACCTGTAAAATTGAATACAGTAGCTGGTTTTGAGACTGGAACATTATTTTTGTACTTCATCCTGTGTTTTATTCCTCAACTCCACAAAGTGTTTGGCCATGTGTTATACCTTCTGGGCCACTGGAATCATACAGTGACTGTGAAGTGGTAACCTGCTGCTTTTTCTCTCCCATATTCATAAAGTGCCAGTTGTTGCATCACAGGAATATGGCTTATATTTTGATTGTTAGCTAGAAGGATCACAGCTTCCATTTTAGCTACAAGACTAAAGTAGTATGTGTTAATTTGAGGTACTGAAAGTTATATGTATAAGGAGCTGATATAAAAATTTAGCAGAAAATGTTGGAGTGCATTAGACTGCGTGTCTTGTCCATGTTCACTGAAAAATTTTGCTAAGATTTGTGAAATTTTTGATCAAATCTGTGCCAAGGTTTGAGTGAACCAGTGCTGATTGATGGCTGTGCAAAAAAATCAGATGAAGTTTATAATTCCATGAGGTTTCTGCACAAAGCTGGGGGAAACTTGTAATTTTGCTTTGAGTCAACCTTTGCTGAGTTTCAAGTTTTTAATGAAATCAGACAAGTTTATTGAGAAAATGTTGTCCATTGATTGACCACAGCAATAAGATGCTAACAGATAGAGACAGGCCTAAACTATATATTTTGGATCCAGACCCTA